CCCCGTCAGCTTCGCTGCTCTTCCTGATCGCATGTCCCGCTCGCAGGAATGCTTATCGTTGGGAAGACCCTCTTCTACATTTGGCTAAACCCAGCGATTCTTGTCTACTGAGCACGATCTGACGTTCAGTCGGATCGTCCGTCCACCGCTGCTGAGCAGCGGTACTCTAATCTAGTGTCCAAGCAAAGTTTCCACTTCCACTGCTTTCCAGGATGTCATTTCAGGGCATCCTAGACGGCCCATGGGCCGATCATTATCACACGGCGCGCTCGTCAATGACGATGCTATGGCAGCAACAGTTCCATCCTCGCCGTCTCAGAGCTCGTCCCGTTAGAACGCTGATGATCCTGGCCGCCACATGCTTCTTCACGCTGCTGTTGTTGTCGCGATCTAGTCAAGTATGTTTACTATGCGATCTACTGTCTCAATGAAGTGGTACTGACGAAGTGCCTCTTTTCCTAGCCACATGTTAGCTACTGGTTGAGATACCCATCATATCCCCCCTCCCGTGAGCGCCCCGAAGACTTGCCGATGGTCTTCACTTCCCCGGGTCATGTTTTGCACCGAAATGATAGTCTTCCGCATAATCTGCAAAAGTCAACCCCGTCTTTCCACCTTCTTATACCTGCATCGCAAAAGTCCGCCTCACTCTGTCGCACATTGACGTCGTCGATGATACTGAACTACCCACCGCCCACATTGATTAGCTATGGCAAGTCGCCTCCAACGGGGTACACAGATTACGCTGCCATGGTGGACCGCATAGCCGGCATATACAATTATCTGGCGTATAACCCACAAATAAAGGATGAAGATCTCGTCCTTATTGTTGATTCCCAGGACGTGTTTTTCCAGTTACCCCCTGAGGTCCTGATTCAGAGGTTCCAAAATCTACTCAGAGAGAACAATGAAAAATTGCTCCGAAAGTATGGTACCGTGAATGTTGACAGGCCGTACCGTACAGGCTCGCAGCAAACGATACAGAAATACTCCCAGAGAGTTTTGTTTGCAGCGAGCAAAGAATGTTTCCCCGGGCTCACCCTAGATGCAGGGTGTGTGACAGTCCCAGAGTCTAGCCTCCCCCCGGACGCTTATGGGTGGAAGACGGATATCCACCCACAAGGACATCTGAATCGGCCGCGCTGGCTCAAGCCTGGCGCGGTTGTTGGTCAAGCAGCTGATCTCAAGTTGATATACGCCGAGGTTCTGCGGTTCGTGCATCAACACCGCAATGCACGGGGAGATTACCTAGCTATGACGCAAATGTTTGGTCGACAGGAATATGTGCGGGAGCTTGAGAGGCGGGATTCTGCGAATGGATTCATGGAATGGCTCTACACACTTATAGGCATCTCTGATGCTTCCAATATCACAGGAGCTACCCAACCGCGCCTCGAGTCTGGAACCCGCTATGAATATGGCATTGGAGTCGACTATGAATCCCGTCTGTTTTTCAACATGCGCAATGCCAAGATGGATGTCGAATGGCTTCACTACAATAATGTCACCAAGACTTCGGCAGTGCAGATGCAGCATGGCGTCCCCAGAGAAAAGCGCCTCTTGATACCTTCGGATATCACACCTGAGAGCCTCGGTAATCCATTCATCCAGCCCAAATTTGGCAAGGATGATTGGCTGAACCCGCCTTTCAATGAGACGCTCGACAAACTTCCGAATCCGCGCAACCATACTTGGCATAACCTCCCCTTGATGACCAACATTCACTCGGCATCTGTACCGGCCCTGTTGCATGTCGATGGGGATCATTCTGTCCTCGACAAGTGGTGGTCAGAGATGTGGTATCAACCATGGGCTCGTGCCCTTCTCCGCAAGTACATGCGCACCCCGAATGGGTTCGACGCCGCCCAATCTTCCCTCTTGGGAGGACAAGAATGGTGGGACATGCGCGGTGGCAGGGGAGGTCTCTGGACTGACAAGGGTGAATGGTTAGCCTACACTGAAGTTTGTGGAAGCTATGACAAAGAGCTGTTCGATGATGATCTCGGTCCCTTTGGCAAAGAAAGTGGTGAAGACGCTGACGAGCCGGTGTACAACCGATTCGGAAACGTCATCAAGGGTAAAGAAAAACCAGGCATCTGGTGATCTATCTCCGAGACTGGCTCTTGAGAGAAAATTACCGCCTGCCGATTTACCTTTGGTGACACGGCTGGCGTGGCCTACAATTCATCCACACAGGTGGCCCATTGTTCATTCTGCATATTTCATTATAGTGTGAAGCTGCAAACTGCAGCAAGAATTTGCCATCAACTATGGCCGTGCATATCTACATGGTGTTTGGGGGTTCATGACTTATCGATTTTGAGCGAAGTGGATCTGATGTGATGCTTTTGCATATGTGCTTGGCCTTACCCTCCTTGCTTTGCTGGTTTCATCGCAGTCAGGCGTAAGGGCTAATTGTTTCTATTGTATGATATTCCTTCTTGAGTCGGGATGCCGGAGAGTATCTTACGGGATACTTCATTATATACCAGGGTCTGTATAGAATAGATAGAATATGCTACAATTCGTTAGTACTATCGCATTGCAACGTAATAATCCACATAGAAGAACTGCCAGCCATAGTATCATGGTATATATAGTAGTAGTAGTAGTAGTAGTACCGTCCGCACCAAGAAAAATATCTATCCCTCCTCATCCATCCCCTCCCCCTCCGATCCCTTCATCCCCGACCCCAACGTCTCCCGAATAATCGCCAAAACATTGTTCACGTCCTCATTACTCAATCTCTCCTCGCGCTCCTCAATCACCGTATCCAACAGCGCCAACGCCCCGTAATCCTCTTCTGGTATTTCCCCTTCCCCTCCTCCCTGTGCTTCCTCGGCCCCATCCACCTCCATCATCCCATTCGTATCCTCTCCACCATTGACTTGCTGTTCCGCATTCTCATCATATTCTTCTTGTTCTTCTTCCCCTCCCTCACCCGCCTCTTCACCATCCTCTCCTTCCGTCGCGGGTGCATGTAACCCCACCCCCAGGTTCACGATCATCAGCACCTCACCCTTGGTGAGCCCGTAGGGCTGTAACCTGGTGACGAGTTCCCGGAGCGCATGGTCGAGCGGCGTGGGCGCGTTGATCTGGGATGGTGGGATGGCTGTTGTTGTGGTGGACTGTGCCTGGGCTTGTATTTGGGCGGGGGTGAGGTGCGTGTATTTGGGGTAGTTGAGGAGATGGGGGGAGAGTCGGGTGACGTAGTTGTGTATCTAATGATCATTTGACCCAAGAGTCAGATTTTTCTGGTTTGTGCATGTATGTATGTTTGCTGCAGATGTAGACGATGAGAGAGAGAGAGGCTAGTTTAAGACCGTCTAGCTAGCTAGACAATATATCCAGCCCCGCATAGCCACTCGACAGAGGAACACATAGGATGTGGATTTCAATTCAATAAGGGAATGCGCACCTCCTTAACAACGGTATTGTGGTCTCGTAGATCCGGACTGGGAACCCAGTTTCTTGAGTTCGGCGGCGGGTTCGGTGGTCGCCGTGGAGGGTTGGCCGTTAGATAGGCCAGGACCTCTATGTTGGTGAGAGTGGCGGATTGGGGATCGACGATCTGGTTTTCCGCTACTTAGTATGGTACTCTATAATAAGGGCCATAGGATCAGGATTTACCCTCATTGTGATGGTCTAATTGTGCAAATTGGGGGTGATATTGGCCGATTGATAGGTGGATAATGCGACGCGGGAAAAAAAGTGCTGGAATGCGGGGCGGAGAAGGAATTGGGCTGATTCTGCCGGGGAATGATGGGAGAGCGGTGAGAGGAGTTCGCATACTGTATGTACTATGTAGTAAAGAGTGATATTGGTGCAATTAATCAAGTCTCTGAATGAGATAAGGATCAGAACTAGGTAGAGCAATTGCCTCACGCCATGTACATGCTTTTCTCCACTGGTCTTGGTTGGACGTTTTGGCAGGCCTCAAACGCGTACTGATTACCCCAGTTCATCGCTTCTTTCTCTAGTGATTTGATGTCAACTCCATGTAGCACACCCATCTGCTCCTGTAGAACCCTTAACACATCCAGTAGCCACGTCCGGCATGTTCTGTTTTCGCTGTCGTTCAGATGTCCGTCGTAGCTTCGGCAGACACGGTCTAAAGTCTCCTGCGCCGAGGTAGTGGACGGTATGGTTGCAATCTGAATCAGACCCACTAGGAGGAAGGCTTTCAGGATGCCGGTGCCTGATTCGGGCCCATGTCCGGGAATCCAGCCGTTGCCTTCGTTGGTGATATGGTACTTGATGCCGCTGTTGATGCGGTGGTGGTAGAGCGCCCAGTGGTAATCGTTGGTTTTAGGAGGATCATCACGAATGAAGAGTGCAATGTAGAGCGCATTGGGATCCATTTGGGGATTTAGAGTAGTGTAGAAAGCAC